GCTCTGTTATAACTACAAAATTATACCAATTCTTATTGATATTTAAAAAAAAAACACTCGTACGTGTATTCACATTTACTTACATACATATAATACAGATCCTATATATATTATAGAGGCGAAAGTTATGTAAGGATGGATGTATGGATGTTTGTTATAATTACACAAGAAGGTCATTCTCGTAATAAAAGTTCGGTCACATTTCAGTTCCGATCAACTCTCGATCTGGCAACTATCATAAAAGGTATTTTCGTAGTAAAATAGTAAAGTAATACGAAGACAAGCAGATCACAGATTTAATTTTCGGTTACAATACAATATAATCATATTACAGTCAACTGTTGGATGTTTAATACTTTATAACAAAAATACCTTTTATGACAGTTGCGAGGTCGAGAGTTGATCGGAACTGAATAGTGAACCAACGTTTATTATAGAACGGGCCTTCAGGACAGGTGATCTGGGTAAGGGCCGTCGGGTGCGGGTGTACAGTGCGTGTACCGCACACGGGCGGCATTTTCAGGGGTCGGCAAAACAGAATTCGGTCCACCTTTTCGATTAATTTCGATACAATTATAACGCGGAAAGTCATGGCATGTCGCGTCATGTCCTTTTATTCAATGGACTGGCTCCACTTTTGCTCGTTCAAAGTTCGTTGTGTCATTATGATTGACCGGGATTTAGTATTAATAGCAGTTCTGGCTGAAGATGAAGAGAGAAAAATACGAACTGATACGTTGAAGAAAAATCATTTTTGGGAGAGTCATGGGAGAGTCATGCTTCGGCAATAATGAGCGGGATCGACGAGAGTGATACCGCGGCCTCACAGAAAACACTAATATTAAAAAAAAATATAGTTAGAACTAAAAAATAGAAAATAAATTTTAATAAATTTGAAAAAAAAAGCGTGGGGTGCTTTTTACTATTGACAACAGGCACCCAACGCCTTTTTTTCAAAGGTATTAAAATTTATTTTCTATTTTTTAGTTTGGTTTTCTATAAAAAGCTTGTTTTTTAGTTTTTTTAAACTATTATTATTATTATTTTAAATTAGGGTATTCTCATCGGTTCTCGATATATCTACAAAGTTTGAAAGAATTCTGACTGTTAAAAGTCAGTCAAAATCACGCCCAAAGGAGTTGGTTACAAACAAACATACAAGTGAAGCTAATTAATATAAAGCGTGTAAAAAGGGCAGCTTCATCGGCACTGCACGCGCGGTGGCCCTTATCTGTACCTGGATTAAATGTTAGACAACGTTAGTATACAGTCTGGAATAGCACATAGGCTACTTTTTTTAAATAAAAAATTACATTAACGCGAATGAAGCTGTGACTGAAGTTAGTATTAGTGATTATAAGTTTTTTTGAAATTAGAATTGCCTAATAAAAACTAGTAATTATTATTGGATATCAAAGAATGAAAAAGCTATAGCAACACGTAAAGATATCGTGGTACAGGTGTCATGAGTATGATAGTTATTTATTTACTTTAAGCATGGAGGCGAATGAACTACTTGCCGATGTAACTGTTATAACGGAACAGCTGGGAGTTTCTTGTAATCGCTTTGCTTCGCAGCGGTGATCTGCTACTTTCTTTAACATAAAGAAAGTAGCAGATCACCGCTGAGTTCCAAACATTATATATTTCTAATCATATACTTATCATATATTATTTAGTGTTAAATCTTTCCACAGCTTATGTAATATGGTTTGAGTCGATCATAACAGATTACATAAGGTTAATAAAAATATATGTATATAATTTGAATGATTTTGTTTCATAACACATTGTTTTAAAAAGTGAAAACTATATATTTTCTTTGGCTTTTTGGCATTATATTTAATAGATACGTAGTGTTAAGATTAAAATAGGTTCAAAAGTGTTTTCGTATGACTTCGAAGCAATATCTCAATTTTTGCAAAATGAAACAAACCCTATACCGACCCGTCTTTCCAGTGTGGTGTAGTAGGCCAAAACTTCCTTTCTAAGGAGAGAATGAGAGGCCAGCAGGGGATTGTTATAGACTGTTTGCTGTAAATTTGTTTATAAGTAGGAATTGTTATAATTTATTTTTGTTTTTATTAATTCATTTTGTTTTTTCTCATTGTTACTGCTACGACGACGACACTGGATCACCATACGACAGATTCAGGGTAATTGTTATAACCAGGGATCAAAAATTGGTACACGCCGATTTACAGAGAGAAGTAGTGAAATGATAGCAAATTTAAAATAGCAACTAGACAACAAAAATGAGGAATTATTCATTGTTGGCAGTAAACAAGTCGAAGAGAAGCAGCGTTGGATTTATCTATTTTCTCTTAACAACCACACAAATCCACAAAGCACTGTACAACCTCAAACCAACAACTGCGACAGTTTTACCAGTGTAGCCTCTTTCTTACAGTATAACTTCACGAACCGTGATGCTGACCCCCTCAAAGTGATGATTGCCATGAAAGTAACTTGTAACTTGTGAAATTTTAAGTCATTCCACAGAGTGTCATTTGTCATGTTACTACAATTTTTCTTTAAACTTGATATGATTACATTATTCCGTGTGGTGACGGATTAAGAATACAGAGTGTCACCACCCCTATTCATCTCGTGGGTGTCGTAAGAGCCGACTAAGGGAAAAAACAACAGCACTGCAAAGAGAAGGAAAACTTGACACATACCCTATACCAACCCGTCTGGCCAGCGTGGTATAGAAGGCCAAAACCACATTTCTAAGGAGAGGCTAATGTCCAGCAGTGGACTGTTAAAGGCTGTTGATGTGATGTGATTACATGGTTAACAGCATTTCGTTAACGTTTACGAAAAACGATTATATTCCTAAGGAGGATTGCATTGCAGACGTCTGGCCATAAAAACTAATTATTATTTATCACTAGCTGAGACCCGCGGTGTTACCCGCGTTTGTTGTTATAACCGCGGGCAACGCCGTGGGGCGAAGCTAGTCTAAAAAAAGTAGCCTAAGTTACTCCTTATGTCATCAGCTATCTGCCAGTGAAAGTCCCGTCGAAATCGGTCCAGCCGTTCCAGAGATTACCCGGAACAAACAGACAGACAGACAGACAGACAAAAATTGTAAAAAATGTTTTTTTGGCATATGTACCGTGTAAACATACATATGCATTTAGTAAAAAGCGGTTATTTTAATATTACAAACAGACACTCCAATTTTATTTATTTGTATAGATAGAGTATAGATAAAGCGCGAAAGTTTAAAAGTAAATAATTGTTTTAAACTAACTAAGTGTCTTTTATTTAATATGATAAGAGGCACGGGGTACTTTCTGGTTGGTTTGAGGTCGGTGCCAAACTCGAATCTTAATAATACTTAGACTTATAAATACTTATAAACGAATTACGAACGAAATTTAAGTCTCATGAATATTCATTAGGGTAATACCACTAATGAAAACTCATCAACAACGTCATATAGTATTGAAAATTTAATATCTTTTTAAACGTCAGAAAACGACCATGTAGCCACTTACAGTCTATTTTAAGTCTTAATTGGCTGTTGTTTGTTTGCGTTAGCTTAGAAACTGGACTCTTTACAGCTATAAGGTTTTGCAGATATTTTATGTTACTTTTAAATTGATATGCGTTATTAGAGGTTTTGACGATTTTGACATGAAGATTGGCCGACGGACATACTATATGTATAACGAAGTGATCTATTTAATAAGGATTCTTTATACAAAAAAAAAATACAAACAGTCGAACGTGAAGTCATTTAACAACAATAACATTAATAACTTTAAACGTTAATTTTGCCTTACTTTGAGAAACATAAATACGCTTTATGTGCCCTTAATTTCTGAGGATTTCCCTTGAACTTGACTTGAATACATTAGAACAGAATTATATGAACACACAGGTGAACATAGAACCTTCTCCTTTTCGAATTCTATTTAAATTATTCCTGTCCTACAAAAACTACAGCGAACTAAATATAAATATATAATATATATATATATATTATATAATAATATATATATATAAATACTTAAAAAATTAAATTTCGATTAACCCACATTCATACTTAAATTATAAATGTGAGAGTGAGTTTGTTTGTTTGTTATGCTTTCACGCCTAAACCGATTTTAAACACTCTTTCACCAATGAAAAGTTACATTCTCAAGGAGTAACGTAGGCGACTTTTTACCGCGATAACCGGCATACACGCGGGCGGAGCCAAGGACAAAAGTAATACAATAAAATAATACTATAAAAGTATTCTTTGAAAATACTCAATATGATTAATGAAAGTGAGTCCCTCTTGTCCTTATTTCGGTACACACATCACATACTACAAATATCAAATAGAGGAGCTAATACCGTAACGTATTGTGTTGAATTTAATTTAAATGTATGGGATCAACCCACCGATAAAGATCAAAGACAATGTAACTAGACCATGAAAAGGTTATTTATTTATTAAAGTTTTACATTTTAATTCTTATTTCTACCTACAATGTGAATACTATTCTTGTAATTACGGACCATTTCCAGTCATAAAGAAACGTATGATTTATGAATATTTTGATAACTTGGGTTGTATGTAGAACTGAGGTCGATGGGCAGTTTAGATGAAGGGAGTATAAGAAAGAGCAGTACCATTATAAATAACATAACAAAATATGGACTGTTTGATTACGATTTTTAATAAAAAAAAGTGTTAGCAAAATAGTTTAGTAAGATGTTCTTTAGAACGCCTTATACACAATAATCGTCTTATTATTATTTAAAATGTTACTCCATTTCATTTAAGATTACGAAAAATACGTGAAATACATAATTTTAAACCACAAGTATGTGTATAATTAAGGTAATTTTAAACCTAAAAAAAATACTAGCTGCATATTATTTAACGAAAATTAAATTATACAAAACGATAACATGAACATAAATGCTCTTTGATACTTTTATAATCCGTAAGTCCGTTTTTAATAATTTGTGGTAAAAATACTAAAAGGTTTCCTTACCTTCACTTAAACTTCTGTTAGTGTCGACTTCAATGGAGAATAGCCTCCCAGTATTATTATGGCGCGGGAAGCCCATGTAAACACCGTCGAATACTTCAAACTTTCGATCGTCCTCGTTATTCTGCGTGGGTTGTTCATTATGCACGGATGCAACACAAGTTGCTATAAGCAACGCGAAGAGACACAGATACATGGATTGCGTTTGTGGTGCGTTCATTGCGCCGCTCGTTTGGGCAGTGCAGCGCTACAAGCGCGCCCCTCTACAGGTCCTCCGTACCCCTAATCTGATCTTGGCCGAGCGTGTTCACTCAACAAGTTTGCGATCGAGTAATTTTCTATTTCACTAGCCTCTGAGGCCTAATCATTTTGCGGATTTAGGGCAGAACGGTTTGTAATAATATTATACAAGTAAAAGGATAATTTCATAATATTTTCAGGTTAATTGAATTTATTGATAAATAACTCTTTGATGTTTTACTAGACTGCGTAACAGCAAAGAGTTCGTTGTCTTATGTATTAGTATTATTTAGTTTTAACCCGATTATAATAAGAAATATATATTACAGCGGCTTAAAGAAAATGCAAAAAAAAAACTAATAAGTAAAACAACACTCAGCGTAAACTCTGTATCAGTGTATGTTATGTAAGTTGTTCCAAATAAATACAATAAAATAAATAAAACTGAAATTTATTGAATTAATCGTGTTTTTGTGTTCTGGATGAAACTATTTTTTTTTATTTTTGCGTTAAATTAGCTGTTGTTGTGTCAAAAAAAGTTGCTCGACAAACTAAGATTTTTTTTTGATTTTGACTTTGTTTAAGACTTGGTTTAGCGCAATGCCGCGATTGCAGATGATTTACACTGCAATTTAGTTATAAATTGAACCGTTATTAGGGTTTATGGAACTCTCTAGTTGCAAAGGATTGTATCTAACGGTGGAAGTGGAGCAGATCGTCACGACGACTCAGCTCACTGAAGCGGGACTAGTAGGTAAGCGAATGTTGCTCACTGTTGCATTACTTCCATTGAGGCACAGATCCGCTAAAATCTTAAGATAAATCTCAGATCAAACATGCAAAATTCTGAAGTAAACATAAATAGAAGATGTATACTTATTGCTTAAAAGCGGCCTGTAATATTAATAAAATAACCAAACACATTCAGTGGTTTTTAAACTAAAATTAGACCTTAGAGCCTGTGCTATGGTAACCAGACTGCTGATAAACATACTTATATATATTTTTTAAATACATACATATTATAGATAAATTACACCCAGACACAGAACGAATGATAGAGCTCATCACACAATATTTGTCATGGGTGGGAATCGAACCGCAATAGCTACAACAGAATTAAGGTTTAAGAAATAATTATAGATACATCTAAGTAGGCATACCTTCATGTCATATCATCATCATCATATTAAGAAAAAGAACTATATTCCTAGTGCTACCTGAATTTTTTTTAACGTAATTAGATTTTCTTTGATAATGTTAATTTCACAAGTCCCCACAAAATCGTGATAATAAGACACTAGAAATGAATAACGGGTCGATTACTACCAAAACCGATGTCGCCTCATCTTAACACATACACAAAATACAAACTAATAGGTATAAGACTCGCACACACTTGTAAAACAACGGTGAAATGTATAGGGCACAAACTATTATGAGCCCTATCCTTCAGGAATTACAGTACATTTTACTCCAATGTCTTTTATGGCACCACTACAATCTCTTTCGATGTTGTGAATCCCTGTATACAATGCTAGGGATTGACTAAATTTATCGAAGCTGTATTTGTATTTACATTAAAATAAAATGGATTACAAGTAGCAATGAAAACCATATATATATACTATTTTTTAAATATTTTAACAGTAATGATGCTTGTAAATAAATGGTACCTATTATTTAAAATCAAGCTATCCATTAACAGTTAAAATACTCTATCAATCAAAGATACACTTATAAAACAATTAGAAAAATCTAATGAATACAATTTTATTAAGAAAAACACTTAAACTTACAGAAACCAAAAATTGAAATAATAAGCTACTACTGAACAAATAGAATTATATTAATCTAAAGATAAGTTATTAAGAAGTAAGTAATAAACAGAGTAGTTTCCATTTTTTAAACTCAAACTCAAACTTGTTTGAAATCGTCTTTTATGTGTGTGTTCATCTATGACTCTAAAGTCATAGATGAACACACATAATATCAACAATCTTCTTTTTGTCAAATAGTAAGCAAATAAATTTAATAAAAATTAAACATATACCAAATCTATGATATGCCTGTGCCGATCTACAACCGCCCGTTTTCAAAGGGTTGAGCCTTATGAGAAGAAAGGGCAAACAAACTCATGGCCATTTATATTTACATAGTCGTCAACTGTGTACTGAAACCCTTATTCCTAACACTATGTTTCAAAATATAGTTATAGTTCTATAAGCAAGACCTCGTTTTCCCCAACGGTTGTCGGTTCTGCGGCTAATACACTGCCACGAGTTCTTGAGGGGAGACCGCGTCTCATCAAACGTAATGTAGGACGCCTACAGGCCAGGTGCAGTAACGATTTGCTCAAGATGGCTGGAAGGAGCTGGAAGCGAGAAGCCCAAAATCAATCAATCGAGCAATGGGAGAGGCCAAAACGGAAAGTAATAAAATTATGTTTACAAATGCAGATATCTTATTAAAAGTATTCATCGATATGCAAATTAGTAAAAACAATAATTTATTAGTAAAAAACAAACTTACCGATAAAATGTTATTGCTATTGTAATTGCGATTATGCTATGCGATATGCGATTTCACAACCCATTATGCTGCAGTTCACCATTTTAACCATATAAATTCACATACGACGCTCCGCGCAACTAAATTGCGAATTTCTGTAAGTGGTGTTCGTTTACACATCATTGCGGCGACTAGGTCAAGCCTCTATGCGACTTCTAGTGTCTTATTATTACGATTTCTATGCAGGTCCCAAATCGTTTTGATCCTTTTATAATGTTGTTACTTCATACACCTACCTGCTTCTGACTGGTTAGAAACTTCATGATAATGTAGTTTTGTTTCGATCTGCTTCATACGCACTTTAAAAGCTTTAGCCTGACCAAATAATATTTAATAAATATGAGAAACATCTTTATGTGTTTTATAATCATAATCCATACTATTAAAATGCGAGTGTGTCTGTCTGTCTGTTACCTCTTCACGCTTGAACCGCTAAACCCATTTAGATGAAATTCAGTGTAGACATTGTTTGAGTCCCGGGCCAGGACATAGGGTAGTTTTTATCAAAGAAATTACCCTTTAAGAGGGTATAAACAGGGTTGAAATAAGAAGGGGCCTATAGCCTCTGACCCGATTCAGATGAAACTTGGTATAGAGTTTGAGTTGTGGGGAAGGATATAGAATAGTTGCTATCTCAGAAATTATTCTTTAAGGGTGTAAAAAGGAGGGTGGAAATATGTAAAGGGGATCAATAAAAAATGACTATAAGAGTTTTTGGTGAATAGATTTTGAATTGCTGATCAAAGGTGTACAACGACGTTACATTTTCATTTATACATGTCCTCTTTGATCTACCTTAACGGCATGCAAATTGGTAAAAAATAATTGTCAATTGATTTTGAATAATAAATTACATTTTTCAATAAACATATAAAATAAAAATGACAGTATAAATTTCAAAATGTTACAATTAGTAATAATGCAAATATATTCTTAATTTCCTTAGTGAAAGTCACTTATTGTATAGTAGCATTTCTTTACTAAAAAGTCATGAAGGCGCTTCTTAAATAGATTAATATTTAACTTTTTAAATTCATTAGGTATACTGTTATATCCCCGCCAGCAATCATTGCTGCCATGCTGGTGGGTGAGGTGGGCTGGGGCGCAGTGGTCTCTTTCTGTGAAACTGTAATGCTCCAGAAAGAGACCGCTGAACGGGATCGGTAGAGAGCCGATCCCGTACGTAGAGGACGTCGGCGGCGATATCAGCCGTCGACGGGGCCGCGGGCCGCCAGAGAGTGGGGACCTCTGGTGGCAGATTGATTGCTGCGGTAGGGAATGGAATGGCCGGCCTGATTGCATTAAGATGCGATCGGGCCGCCATGCCGCGATTGAAGGGGGAAGTGTTCTCCCCTGGGATAGGGCCTGATTATGCGAAGCCTATCGCGTGTATGTGTCCTTCTACTTCGTAAATCAGGATTTAATTTTACATAAGTTGCTGTTTCGAATATATATAAAGACGGTAAAGTTAAGATATCGTGCCTTACAAAGTATGATTTACAGCTATCTCTACTATTTAAACTAAATATGGCTCGAATACATCTTTTTTTGGCTTTAAAAACTACATCTTTATGTGTGGAGTTACACCAGAATATTATTCCATATCTTAAAAATGAATCAGTAGTTCCATGATAGGCTGTAAGTAGTGCATCAATATTTAAGACTGGTGTAAGTTTAAACAGAGCATATGCTGAATTACTGATTTTATTACATAAAGCCTCTGTGTGTATTTTCCAATTTAATTTACTATCAACAGTTAAGCCTAAAAATTTCGTTGTGGTAACTTCACAAACTTTAATTTTTTCGTGTTTTATGTCAGAATTTTGTATCTTAAGGTTGTTAATGTCAAGCCAATTTATTATATTTAATAGTGCAGCGTTTTCACTTTTGTTTCATTTCTACATTCTATAGTAACTGTACTGTCATCCGCAAATAATGTAATTTGATGATCAATTACTTTAGGCACTTGCCTACGGAATTCATTTATGAATAATATAAACAGCAAGGGCGTGTAGGTATTCAGTTCGTTTCTGTTACACATTATAAATTATGTAATATCTATTCAAGCTGGTTACCACTATGAACAGTGGCATTTTACTCATATTTTTTTACCTTATACCTTCCTTATACTTACGTCATTACAGCACTTATGTTGAAATATAATAATATAGAAAAACTAATACCGAAAGCAAAAGGTCCAATCGTCAGCTTATGCTTGGACACACAAAACACTACAAATCTAAGAGCTTGGACTACACATGGATTACCAAGCGCTGGTTTTCAGCTTAAACCCTTGACTCCCGTTTACAAAAAATAATAATTAAGTTATTGATAAAACATTTAAAGACTTTCTTCGTGATCATACATGACCAGAGGTGTTAAAAAATAAATAATGTGTATTGTATAAGGAAGGGCATTCGGAACATGGCTATGATGATGGAAAAAACCTGGAGTTATAAGGGATGTAAATTAATTAAGTACATATATTATGATACCTAATTTTGTTAGAGTATTAATTTATTATAATACATAATACAATAATTTAGTCAAATCATATCTAAAGCAGTCGAGTATTATGTTTTTGGATTTCACTTTTCATTTATTTTTAAAGCTGACTGTGTTCTTTAGAGATCGAAAAGGAGGTGGTACATTGTTCTAAATCTTTGATGCAGGACATTCGAAACAATCCTTATAACCTTGTGTTCTATGTTTCGGTATGACAAGTTTTAAAATTGCCCGAGAACTGGTATTCAAGTTGTGCGCGTCCGCACACCAAGATAACTATACGATACTAACTATAGATATAGTGGACATTTGCTTGTGATTATCTTATGAGTGAAACATAGCAAAAGATGGTGATACGAGTATATATTAAGTGGTCTCTTTTTGTTTATAATTGGGGAGATGGGCGACTATTTATAACACTACTTTATAACAAAAGCGTATACAGGGTTTTGGACACGTTGAATGCATGTTTAGGTATTTTGAGGAAGCCGAAGTCCACATACGACATCGCAATAGTTGAAAGAACCAACAGATCTGAAAGTAACTTCCTTGCGTGCTCGGAGAGAAATTCTCGAATACCAGATAAGACCTTAAGCCTGTAGAACGCAATCCTCATAATAAGTAATAAATGTACCTATCTCAGAGCAGAAGCATATCTTGAGCCCAGTACATATTGTCCCATGTTGGCCCCCGGAAAGCTATCGCCATTGTGTACACAGGGAATTTTTTTGCGGACGATTCCATCATGGCACGCAATCGGGATGTTTTCGGACTTTTTGTGTACACTTCAAAAGAAACGTGGAGTAGCTCGACTGTGGTGTTTATATACTCGCCCATTATTTAGTTTGATATCGACCGATGACGGTATAGCAAACTTTTTACTACACACTGTAGTAGATCAAAATATAACAATAAAAAGTAAAAGTGGTAGGTAGGTATTTGACTCATATACACATGCATATGCAATACTGGCGAGTGGCGAGAGATGGGCAGCCGCGGTCTTCTTCTGTGAGGACGTTATACTACAGAAGGAGATCACGGATCGCGATCGGGTGGGGGCCTATCGCGCTCCAGCCACACGCCAGCGTCCTGCCGAAGGGGTGACTACGGTCACCCCGGGATGTGCCCAGTCATGGGGTACGGCAGGGAGTACTCCAGAAGCCACCGATGCGTTCCTGGAGCTCCACCCGACTTACGAGGTCGGCCGCCGCGGGGTTGAATGGGTAGGCCGGTTCTCCGGCAGTCCCACACGCCCTCTGTATATACAACAAATATTACTAATATTATAAAGACGAACGTTTGTATGAAGTTATTGATGTTTGTTACTCTTTTACGAAAAAACGGCTGGACGGATCTGGATGAAATTTGGTACAGAGATAGATTATAGTGTGGAATAGGCTACTTTTTATCTCGAACAAATGCAGTGTTCTCGTGGGATGTACAAAAACAACCGCGGGTAGCACCACGGGGCGCAGCTAGTAAAATGATATATAATTAATAATTTATAATCCTAATGCTAACAGTCAAATGCTTTCTTTTGGATATGTTCAAATATAGATTTATATTTTGTACCACTATTTGTTTTGATAAAAGCTTTAATTAAGCTTTAAACTACGTTGTAGCGATTTGGGTTTAATAAATTGTTATGTGTTTACGTAGCAACTTTAATAAATTATTATGTACATTAATCCAAGCGCGTAGAGTAATAAAACCCAAAACAAACGCTAAAGATAATGTTTGCAGACCGAGTGTGTGTTTTAGTAAAACAATAGCGTAATTGTAAATTACAAAATGTATGGTTGATTGAAAACTTTTTGATAGGTATGGCTATACTAAAAATAAAGCTTGTCTTTAACGGTTATTATCGTAGTTATATACACTGTGCAATTAAGGAGAAGATAATAAAATAAAACAACTTTTACGTGCAAAAATAGGGAGATGGTTGGTAGAGTGTTTGCCGGGTATAGACACATTATTGAAAACTATATGAGCTAAACCAAAACCTCCAGTATATGTCCTTCCAAAATAATGAAGATATGATACATATCGTTCGAAATTTGCAAAAATGCCCAATTGTGAATTTTTCTCTTTTCTAATAATTCAAATGTGAATTTGAACTCTCTATTAAATTAGTAAATTGTATTATGCTAATTAATCAAATTTTATACATATATCCGAGTCAACATTACGGTCACATCCATCAAACAGCTAATATTAAGATTGTATAACATCGCCAATGATGAATTCTACCAAAGCACAATATTGCTTTATATAATTCTGTTTAGCTATAGTTTGGTAAAATTCCATCACGGGTTATGGTATCTTTAGCGTACCGGTTTGCCTATCTCTGAGGAATGAACTCCATGCATTACGAAGCTTGAACTTTCGTAACTTCTCTTTTTTTAAACATGGTTTCTATCTCAATTAGCTCAAATCAAATCAAATCAAATCAAATCTTTATTTGCCAACCAAGTGTACATCAATCATCTTATAATATTATATGTAGTAGTCAGAAGCCTTTTCCAGGCATTGCAAAAATTTGAGAGAGAACCCAGAAGAATAAATTGTTACACAAGTACAAGCATTTTTTGAACAATACAAATTAAGTGACTCAATAGTACAGTATATAATAGTACAGTATAACAATCGAATAAAGCATGCAAAAATACGAATCCTCCTCCTCCGAATCGAGTGATTTTTATTAATGTAAGTAGTACTGATGCATGTGAAGAATCATTATTCACTTTTAATCACTATAGTTTTTTAAAATGCGTTTGAAACGTGTATTGTTAAGTTAAACTCGTGAGAAAGGTGAGACGGTAATTATTTTCTTTTTCATTTTGTTGTACAATGTTACACATAGTGACTGAAAAACGTCAGAAAATGAAAGTCTCAGATTATTATAACATTTATTGAATAATAAATACTTATAACTAGACTTAACCGTCTATCTTTCACAAAATCTCACCATTTTCGCGAGAGGTAGACGAAATTCGTAATTCGAAAGCGAAGCGTATAATTATTACTACTACCGATCACTTAACTACGAAAACTAAAAGTATTACTCATATGTATTCGCGGTACGATCTAAGTGCTTAAAAATAAATAGTTTAATAAATAAATAAATGCATTTGCCTAATCGACTGAACCCCTCAGTCATTGAGGTAGCCGTAGCGTTCGATTGGTGGGTTTTCGGTAATGGTCTACTACTAATTATAGATTTGTCGACTGCTACTTAATCGGAAATTGTTGCATCGTTATCTGATCTGGCCCAAGGTGATAAGAGAGGGCCAGAAGCAGGCCAGGGTGCAGGTACAGCAGGTGCTGGTAAAAATTCAGCGCGGGGATGTAAATGTACCAGGGGGGACGGCGAAGCAGCCGCAAAGAACAATCTAGATGCAGCCTGTAAATTAAACAAAGAGGTTTTTAAAGTTAATTCAACATTCTCAAAAACTAGGGTAGGTACTAGCTTTCCACCAAAACAATATTTCATTTAAAATAGTATTGTTCGTAAAAGGAATTATATGATTTATTCGACTTGAAATATAAATATTTTTCAATGTTGATGAAGTTACAGTTAACATTTAAAAAAAAACGTACTGAAATATGTATGGAAATAAAATGAAAATGTATAACCTTCCACCAAATAAGTTTTATCCTTATTGATATACAAACTGTCCGTAAATAAACGAACTCTCACCTCATGAAGGAATACTTGATGATAAAATATACTTTAACGCGAACGAAGCCGCTGGTGTTAGCTAGTTTCAATATATTTCGTAATTCTTCTATGTTCTTACCTGACTCACAGACACAATTAGTAGAAGAACGCCAATGGCTAAATTCTTCACAGAAATTACTGCAAGAGCCATCAAAAGTGTCGAGATCACACCCAAAGTGAACATCACAGGCAGGAATATGAAAGACAGTCGCTTCAGAGCATTATGACCAAACGTACGGCCGACGGTAGTATCTGAAAAAAGTAATACCCTTATTTAGCAATAAATACATAATTTTATATTTATTTTTAACTTCTACCTTGCAACTTGTAAAAAAATTCTAGAGAATAACTCTAGTTTGAAATTTGAAGATGCTGGTGACATAGTATATTTTTTATTGATTCTTTATTTGAGAAAATATCTATGGACCCCCGTCGGAACGAAGTTCCTTTCGCTTTTTTGTAGATTTTCCTTTCTTTTTTCTATAATTTTCTTTCTTTTTTGACATCTTTATATGCAATATAATTATATAGGCCCGCTCCGTTCCTGCTGGCCGTTACTACAAGGGACGGACTTATGTTTGCCCCCTTATTTTAAACCTCTAATATCTTCTTAAATATTCATTTTAATGCTGTCAAGAGCAATTTTAATCTACATTAAATGCACAACGTATCTTACATATCTAATTGGATGAGGAATAATAATTTTATGTGTAATATTTAAAAGACAAAAATGGTTATGGTATTTTTTTTCAGGAGATAGACACATACCATCGCTAACTTTTTTTGTGGACCTTTTTAAGATATATAATTCCAACGTTTGCAATGTAAGCTCACAAAAACATGTTTTACGACAAATCTTTGAAATTCTCGTATTTTTTCTACTATAATAAATGAATCACTCTCTCTATTGGTGAACCGCATAAAAATCTTTAATATCATTTCAATCATAATTTGTTTAAAAGATCTAAGCGTACTATAGCAAAAAAAGTATCGGAAAAAGTCTTGTTACACTTCTTTTGGTTTCGCGTGTAACGAGCAATAAGGAACTTCGTTTCAATAATAATATTCTGCCACATTCACACAACACCATCTAGTCCTAAGCTAAGCAGAGCTTGTACTATAGTAAGAATAATGTTTATTTAGATAGAGTACAATCATTTATAACAAATTTTTCACTAATTTATAAATAAAACTATGGGAACTAGACAACTGATATAAATACATACACACTTTTTTTAATACATACATATTATACCTACACAGAAACACCCAGACCAAATCAAACATTAAATGTTTATGCACACAAATGTTTGACTTGAGCGGGATCCAACCCGCGTCCTTTGGCATAGCAGTCCTCTACACAAATCACTACGCCATCAGGCCGTCAACAAAACTTTGAAAAGTTTATAATTTGATCGTAAGCTATAAGATGGCATTGTGTGAATGTGGTAGAATATTATTATTATTATAGTTAGTAGACATTTATAATTTACTAAGATCCTACCTACGGATCTAGATTACTTATGGAAAGGCATCTCTAGATATACGCATATCTACCCATATTTGTTAATTCTGTTACTTTTATACTCGTAGTAACGGAAATTAATAAGTCGTCAATTTTTTCGTTAAGTAAAATAATGTTTTAGTAAAATCGTCTTTTATATTCGTTTAAAATAATCGGAGTTATTTTCATGTATGTATATTTGTAGTCTAGTTACAATAGCATAGGTTCTATCTGGTTTGAGATCCAACCACTCGATCAGATAATATGTCTGAAGTTATTAATTATTTATTATTATAATTCGCTTTTAATGCAGTTCAAACAGAACATGAACTTACGCCCGTGATAAGTTCTCTAATAAAGCCCTAAGACAAGCATTTAGTTTCCAGTGGATGCTAAAAGCTGAATATTTGTGTTAGGAATTGGTTTACGTAGAAAATTGTTAACTATGGAGATTTGAAACTACTACCTATACAGTAATAAAAACATTGATGGCAATGAGAATATCAGACTGATTTATAAGTAAATATAGTCCTGTTTAGAAATTTATATCTGTCTAGAAGTAATGTAAATAGAATTACCGTCTTTTAAAAAATCCTTCACTTCTTCACTGTCACAGTTCACTACAGAAATTAATATAAAGACGTAAGTGAAACACAATAAAGTGAATTTGTTACACATTTTGGCTGGCACTTAAAAATTTGGTGTACAATTAATCGATGATCAGCAGACGCCTGCTAGTGTTTGACTGATGGGTTTGTGCCTGTATGCCAGGATATAAAGTGTCTTGAGGAAGACAATGGTTGTCGAGACCAAACAATCACGACAAAAGAAAGCGCAGGACAACGTGACCGCTTGATAGAAATGTCGTCCTCGATATATTGAAGCCGTTTAAGGATTAATGTTGAATCATTAACGGTATGAGTGCTCCCGTTGGAATTCGTCCTGATATAAGGGTCAACGATAGAAACGGTGAAAGTGACAATTAGTTAAAAATGAGTTAGTCTATAACCCGTCAGATATTGATATCCAAAACTTACTTTATAATATTATTAAAACAATGGGTACACACAGTTACAATATTGGTGGTATTTTAACCAACATCGATTATGTATGCATATTCGCTTATACTTCACACACACACTTCGTTCCAATATCACATATTTTAATGAAGTTCCTTATCGCGCGTGACACGCGAGACCGAAAGAAGTGTAACAAGACCTTTTTCCGACACTTTTTTTGCTATAGTACGCTTAGATCTTTTAAACTAAGCAACAATTTTTTATGCGGTTAACCAATAGAGAGAGTGATTCAAGAGGATGGTTTATATGTATATTATATGTGCATATTATATTAGAGAAAATACGAGAATTTCAAAGATTTGTCGTAAATTATTTTAAATTAAGAATTCTTGAGGGTAAAATTCATTTTCGTCTATATGTACATTATCTGAAAATAGGTAGGTACACGATACATTCAATGAGTTAGTCACGCAATATTCGTTTGCTTTCCAATAATTACAAATTGGTATCAAGAATAATTAGCTAAATAATGTGTTGCGTGTAAATAAAAGAACATTTATCAGTAGTCATGCCACGTACGTAATAGAGAAACTCGATCAGTGGCGGCGCGAAGACACGAAAGCAATGGTGCGCAGCACACGGCGCTAGCGCATTCTCGAACAGTGCGTCCACCCGTGTCCGTGACCGTGCATATGGTAATCACATACTTACTATGTTCGGCAAAATGGACCACTTCCTGTCGACATGGAATACCGAAATTTTGAGTTGTTATCACCTTGAATTTGGGCTGTACAGTGCTTTCACGCTCTTTGCATTTCCTTGTCGTTGCATGTCTCTGACAATGTTGATTTATTCATGTAGTGAAATTTCAATGTATTCCTGCATCGATATCTACAGATCACGACATTCACGGTAGTGAACACTAATTTTGTGTGGCGACATTTTTAACAATATAACATGCCAAGTACAATTGCAGCTGTATTATCTATACCATAGACAAGTCAGTTTCTATTATTATACGTACATGAAAAATTATTTCACGATACGACTTTATTTGTTTTTCCCGATGTTGAGTGTCGTTTAGCGTTAAAATAGTAGCTCTTATCTCTTCAGTATTATTATTATTATGTTCAAATATCAAAACAAAAATTAAAGTCTCTTAATTCAAGCCTTTGAGCCTTTAAGCTTTGAGCCTTTAAGTGCTATCAAAAATCTGTTCTTGTCAGTTTATTTGCTGCATAAAACGCGAAAGTGAAAAGACGTTAACATTCTTTATTTTTAACAATCCATTCAGTTGAGGTTATGATAAAGTTTTCCACGAGTGCACAATGAATCGTAGGTACGCAACATAAACCTATTTTTTGTACCTCAATCGATTAATAAAAGCGATGTGTGAGACGCATTCGTAATTATTGTTACTTTCTACTCATTTGTTAATTTTTATACTTACACGGTTATAAAAAATCAATAAAGCCGAGAAAATTGCATTTGTTTAAAATTTGTTTCCCGAAATAAATCACGGGTATCGGTCTAGAATTCCGAAATGCATTTATATTCAATTATTAAAATATGTCAAAAATAATTTTCAATGTTTAGATGTAGATGTTAACTAAAAATTAGAAGCAAAAAAGTAAAATACGACAATGCCGTGTAGGAATAAAATGTACATAAAAAAGTGCAGAACAGGTAAACATAAATTTTTATTTGTTTGTTATGAAATAAACGCTAGTTTTCTATATTATAAAATACAGTAGCTATACAGGTAAAATAAAGATTAATTTCAGTGTGAAAGATTTTTTGTTTTAAACTATATAATAAGTTACTAAGAATATGTGTGTCCGAGGATAGTAAACTTTCAATAATTAATATAGATAAACTGCCAGAATAAAAAAAAATTGATAGTTTAACATCAAAATAAAGCGTTCGCAAGAAGTGGCGATGCATTTGGGGCGTAAGTAGTGAGGGAACAACCGGCGGCATCAGTCCAGCCGTAGCGATGCAACCGCTCACCGCGCTCCTTATACTGGTCGCGTGCCAGTGTTTATACGCACACCAGCATCCGCGCACGCCGCGACATCATATCAAAGACACTTTACATGCGTTAATTGGAAATCAAAGTAAACCCGTGCATCGCATAGTCTCTTGTACGAGAAAATTGGGTGTTCCAAAATGTGTCGGTGCTTTAGGAGTCTGGCGTGCAGAACGAGCCCTCAGATCTTTACAACAAGACTCGACATCAAGCTTCAACCTGACTGAGGATGTAGAAGAATTCCCCTGGAAGAAATATACCAATGAAACCAACAAGCAGATACAAGAACAGCTTCTTGATAACACACAAAGATTGCTACAATATCGGTCTATGAGTTTGGATATGATATCTGGTTACTCAGCAAAACTGACCTCAAAAAAGAACAGATCCTTATGTATCGACTTTTACCGAAGTAAGTACTTTGGAAATATTTTTTTATCCCATTGCAATCTTTGTGCTCTACATGATCTGTACACCTACATTTTAAAGTGTTTTATTTATCAAGTACATACTTTCTAATTCTTTGATAATAATTTGAAAAATATTACTTCATCTGTAGAGTAAAATCTTAAAGTATTTATTTTGACAAATGATGGCAAATTAAAGGAATATTTGTTATTTATTTCACAAACAAAACGTTCACATATCGTTAAAATATATGTACCAACTGGAGCTTATATCAATTGATTTATTATATTTTTAGGTATCAGTTGGTTACGTAATTTTTTTTTGGTCCTCATCATTATAATTGAGTCATAATAAATAAAAGTGAAAGTTATCTGATTCAATATTGTCTGTAAATAACGCATTACACTTTTCATTAATGTATTTTTATTTTCAGGCACTGAAGACGAAGGCCGATCCAGTATGAAAAAAATTCAGAAAGAGTTTTATAAAATTGCTCCAATTTTGTTATTACCTGGACTGTTAATATCAGCCCTCTTGCCATTTGTTCTGCCTAGTTTAAAGATGATGGTACTCATGGTTGGATTCATGAACCAGATGGCCTTAGTAGGTGCTATATTTACAATTTTAAGAAATAATGCTTTTAATGACAAATATGACCACAAAGTAATTTATGTCAATAGTGGCTATGAAAACGAGAAACTTCAATTGTCACCTTCAAATAATGAAGAGCATTTTCACACAGATCACGTAGGTATTTTGTATGATGATTACAAAACACGTTCACCGATTAAACCTATTGTTAACTCTCATTTTGAAGATAATTTTGGTGATTTTGAAGAAATGTCACCAGTGTCAGTAAACCCTAAATGGATTAAAGATTATACGGATGGTAAAATGATAGCAATGTTAAGAAAACAGCCAAATGATGATTTATTTTTTAATGGCGGAATGTCTGGTAGACGATCGAAAATTGAAAACGTAAACTAGACGCTAAATCTATAAGCATTGCCTGCTTACATAATCTATTAATACTTGTTTTTCTCTAGTCTCAACCTATCATAGTAATCAATTAAGATTCGACTTGTCTTACACATACCAAATAAATAAACTCGTTGTTCTATTGTTTACAATTCTACTCGTGTACATTAAATTAATATTTACTTTGAAAATCTTGCCAAGAATATGTAATCACTAAGTTATGAGTTAAGTTTGTTATTATTTATTGTTTATACTTAGTAAATTGTAAGTAATTTATTTTTATGCATGCATATGCATGAGAATTCTAATAAAATGTTCACTTTCTATGTGGTTTCTTTCTTTCTTTTATTTAAAGTTAAAAACAAATTGAAGGGGATGCTTCAAAAGGTACAACTACAGGGTATAGGTGAATACTTTTCATAGGCTAATATCTATCCTTGTATGCTATTTGTTTGTTTGATATAAAAACAATAATGAGCATAGTGTTCATGTATACTACTTCTGCAAAGATTATTCTTTTTTTCTTTGCATTATCATCATGTTCCTGTTCTTTTTCCCGATTCCCGCTAACATAACACTAACATAACATCAGTCAATGAGCCTGATTTTCTGTAATCATCCATATGCAAAAGGTCCTAGTATCTCTTCCAGACTGAGGGTTTTGTCAATTGTCAAAACTTATAAACCAATGGCTAGGTAAGCTTTCTTAAAAGGTCTAGGAATTCTAAATTACACTTAAAACTTCCAAGATGGCTAAGGGCTTGTAGTCTAATTGCATATAGGGGCTTAGTTGAGCAAAGGACTTTTACAAACACTAGAAATATAAAATTCTTCATTTATTAAAAATATATGAATTTATGAATCCCCTCAGGATTCCTTTTTATTTACTGCAAAGAATTTAATCTAGTAAAAAATGTGTAATATTTCTTAAATATTAATTGCAAATTTAATTTAAGTTAATGTTATTCAACAGCGTTAAACGCAAAATAAAAATACTGGTAACGCGAGAGTGCCGAAAAACCTCTTAGCTTGAATAGAAAAATGGGATGAGAATAAGTTGAAATAGTAATTTATTATTCCAAGAAGCCAGTTCCGCGTGAAACTTTTGCAACTCACTAGTTCTAAATAAGAAGCTTCAAATAGCTTTTCCCTCTAGTTTCATGAATGGAACTCTATGAATATAACTATTTGAAGAAAAAAATTATACCCAGTAGTTTCATGAAGTCAGTTGTTACCTGGCTTGTTCTATTATAAGACATTTCCTTGTTGTCTTACAATGCTGCCGACATTCAAACTATTATTGCGCTGCAAAAGAAAGTGATTCGAGAAATTTATAATTCAGGTAATCGTTATTCATTGAGGCAGAAATTTAAAGAGATAAACATAATGATAGTTGCATGTCCATATTACGTGAAAATGTAATATATTATGTTCATACAAACAAATCATCATCATCAGCCTTTAATAGTCCACTGCTGGACATTGGCCTCTCCTTATGCTGGGGACACGTTAAAATGGTATATGTCTACTTGCAGCCGACTTACTGAATACTTTAAATCTATTAATGAAAAATTTAATAGGTTAAATATTGCAGAGTAATAAAATAAGTTCTTAATGTCGTTTTTATAAAATTATTCCTTTGAGATTATTAAAATAAAAATAGTTCTGTTGTCTTTTTATTATAATATGATTCCTTTGAGATTTTAGCTGACTACATGGTGTGCGTGACGATTGAGGATCTTATTCGTGATTCGAAAAAACGAATGATATTCAGTATTATCATCACCTCAGCCAAAAGACGTCAAGAGCTCGATATAGGTAGGCCTCTCCCAAGGCTCTCCATAACAACCGGTCTTTTCTGCATCCAACGGCTTCCCGTGACCTTCACCAGGTCGTTGGACCACCTTGTAGGGGGCCTACCCAAGCTCAAGTCTTCCGGTACGTGGTCGCCAATAAAGAACTTTTTGGTCCCATCGGCCGTCTTTTCAGCGAACTATGTGGAGCCCACTGCTACTTAAGTTTGGCAATTCTCCGGGCAATGTCAGTGACCTTGGTTCGTCTGCGGATCTCTTCATTCCTGATTCGATCACGCTAATGTTACTGAATCGATAATAATTAATTAATATAAAATCGATTAGGACCCTCAATCGTCACGCACACGACTACATTTATATCCATCATCATTTATATTTATATCCCTAAAACAGGTAATAAGTTTAGAGAAATAGTCTCTCGATTATAGTAACATCGATAATTGACTTAATCTCTACGGCAGATGATAGATAGATAGATAATACTTTATTTGTACACCATGGTTTAACAGCTATTGAAATTAACAACAGATGTAATGTACAAAGGGCGCCCTATTGCATAGTGCAATTTCTTCCAGGCAACCTTTGGATGGACTGGATTCATTTTGAACTGGTGATAGGTATACAGAATTTAGAGAAATAAATAAGGTTAACCTATGAAATATTTATCATACATAAATCCTACTAATCTATATTTATACATTAATACTATACATAAATACGTGATATATACGTATACTTATATCTAACTATGAGAGACAGATAACTTGCTTAACCAGTATCAGTCATGATTCCGACCAGGACATAGTACAGGTACAGCACTGCTCAAGGTGACACTTGATATAAAGGCTGCAAAGGAGGATGGCCAGATAACTGTACTCGCATTAATTGATTTCTCAAATGCCTTCAATACCGTGAATCACGATATACTACTTACAATCCTTTCCCATTTCATGATTTCCGATGATGCACTGGAATGGTTCTCGTCCTACCTTCGAGGACGCCAGCAGTCTGCCCGAACTGATGAATCTACATCGCTATGGCCCGACCTTGACTCTGGTGTTCCACAAGGCGGTATTCTTTCTCCACTTCTCTTTTCACTATTCATCGACTTCATAACTTATGAACTTCAGTGTTCGTATCACCTGTATGCAGACGACTTACAGATCTACTCACATGCGAGAGTAGAAAATATAGACGAAGCGATAAACAAAATTAACCACGACCTAGACACCATAAAAAACTGGTCCAGCAGATTTGGTTTAACCGTGAACCCAGCCAAATGTCAGGCAAACTTTATAGGGAGTCCTAGAATGACGGGTAGAATTGATACTGACGCTATCGCAGATATTATTTTTGATGGAACTGTGTTGCCCATTAGCCAATCAGTCAAGGATCTCGGTCTGCACATAGACCCAACCCTAAATTGGCAAACGCAGGTAACTAGCATCAGTCAGAAGGTAACGAATATTTTAAGGAACTTTACCGCCTGAAAAATTTACTCCCAGTGAAAACAAAAACGATGCTGGTGCAGACCTTAATTTTCTCAATCATCGACTATGGTGATGTGTGTTACCTCGACCTGAATGCAGATCTGCTCAATAAATTAGACCGACTTCTCAACAACTGCATTTGGTTCATATTCAACCTGCGAAAGTACGATCATGTATCCGCTTATCGCAGGCAATTGTCATGGCTACCTATAAGACAGCGCCGCAGTTTGCGGGCGCTGACTATGTTGCACTCCCTTTTCCACACACCTACCTCACCTACTTACTTAATATCCCACCTGCAATATCTCTGCTCCAACCATGACAGAAGCCTTCGCTCCGCTGATAATTTCCCCCTTCTATGTCCTTCACATAGCTCCCGTAACGTACATTCTTCCTTCACTGTCCAAGCGGTAAATCTTTGGAACGCCCTTCCCCTATTGATCAGGACATCCACCAACCGAACAATCTTTAAGATCAGAGTACGCAAGCTCTATGGAGACTTGTTGACGGAGTCATCAAAATAACCCCGCGTGTGTTCATCAATGCAGGCATATATGTATGGATGTATGTGTGTATGTTTATGTTTTTTTTAATATTTATAGTATTATATAGTACGTATAAATGATATTTGCATCTATATATGTATCCCCGTATATCTGTGTAGTATAACATCTTGCAACCGACTACAATTTAAATAATTTATCTCATTATACACCTGCCACACAAAAATCTCTGCATCACCCCAAGGTTGACTGGAAGGAAATGCCTATGGCATTAAGTCCGCCTTATGCAATGTATTTGCAGGAAGTATAAATAAAATAAAAAAATAAAAAAAAAATCCTCATACAGCACAGTCTTGAAGGTGGTTACGGATTGCGCACGTCTAATAGAAACCGGCAAGGCATTCTATAAACGTACAGCTTCTACGGAAAATGTTTTTGTGTAGAAATTGGAAGAGTGCCTTAGAATTTCATCAGGCTTTCAGAGGATCTCAAACATTTGTGTGTCATGAAAGAACTTAAAGCGTTCTTTGAGATAAACAGTAGTTAATGGATTATACAGAAGCGTAATGATATGAGATATGACGAATCAACGGGAATCGGGGCTACCCCGTGGTTACCCCGTGGTTACGTGGTTTTTTTTAGAGTCTAGAGAGAGTTAATTTTCTTTAGCGTCACATAAAATTTTGACAATTATTTTTTTCATTAAAAACTATGCAAAATATGTATATATATATTTCCATTGTCGGCAGTTAAACTGTGGAAAGACGGAACGATTAAAGAACATGTAAATAAAACAAAACAATTTTTTTATGATTTAAAAGAAATATACTTATTTCTAAAGCTAAAGTAACACTAACTTCAATTAAAGCAGCGCTTTTTACAATACGTTACTGCTAATAAATTAAAAACTTAGTATCTATTAACTTTCATTAAGAGTCTTATCCATCTCCAAAAAAGCATTACTACTATATTTTAGACAATGTATCCTCTTATTAATAAAGAGTTGCGATCCAGGCTCCTAATAAAATAATAAATTAGAAATAAATATCTATAACAATCACCACAAATCATTTTAATCAATATCACACAGTACTATACTGTAAAAATATACTAAGTTAAAGTTAAGTACAAAAGTTATTCAGTCGCATACGAATTCAAATACATTATTTCTTTAATCGATAGGGGCGGTCAATGTGTATGCTTTTAAATATTATTATTTAATTATTTAAGTGATCTTTCATTCAAATAAGTAGGTATCCATGGGAGTACATTATTTGTGGGCCACTTTTCCTTGTAATATCTATCGTCAGGAATAATCGTACAAGAACAAAGTTCTACATGTACAATACAAAAAAGTGGAATACTACTTAGCTAAAATATTCTACAGCCTACAGGCGCACATAGCGAAGGCATGGAGGTATTTTACGACAAATATAGACCTAACGACCAGTCGTTTAATTTATACGTGGTACTCATTTAATACACAAAAACAACATTAAAAAATTCTTTCCGTCGAAGAGTTTACTCAGTTTTTCTGTGAACTATTTCGGCAAATTGTTTTTCTTCCTGTGTCATGTCTTGGTCGTCCCATCCCCACACTGGGTTTTCTGGATGATAGTGATTATCTTCGGTTTCCAAGCTCGCTTTAGACCACGGATGTGAGCCATCTCCAGTTCTGTTTATTCTTTTTCGAATCATATCAGCTGATACAGTTTTAAGGTCGTAAGCCAAACCTAGAATTCATAATTAATCGTTTTTTGTTTTAAACTTGCTAAGAAGGATCTTCTCATTTCTGTTGAATAAAAAAGGGACCAAAAAGGCGCTGTTTTTAACCATTAAACCTTATCTTATATAGTTTATCAGATTCGATAGTATCATTGCTATACAAGATTTTTTTTTTTATTAACGTTTAAAAAGACTTAAGTACCTGTGATAAAATAACTCAAAATGTTAGTGTGAAACCCTCGCTAATTCAAGCACAAGGATAAAACATATCATTTTCACAGATCATAATATGGAACTGAAAACCAGTTAAAGTGTCTATTTGTAAAAAATAAATGTTACATTACTTGACAGTTTTTTTTCCTCAGTCTGTTTTTGCAGGGGCAAAATAACCAATCATTCGAGGATTCTATAGTATTCAGCTCTATCGAACCATTTCATTTTTTTTCAGTACAGCAGGATATTAGCATTGTTTTTTTACTAACAAGATTTTTCACTAACGCTCCTTATAGAATATAGAATGGGGTAGGATTAATATAGTTTAAAAAAATCAAACAAATTAAATGTTTTGTGTGTTTACATACCATGTTTAGCTGCCCAGTCTATCAACGCAGTCGACAGGTTGGTGCTGTAGTTGCCGAGCTCTGCCGCCTTGTAGTCCCAAGGAAATACGTGATGATAATTATGCCACCCCTCGCCCAAGGCGCAGATAGCAACAGTTTTATTATCTGTCGCGCCTATATTTCTGCAAGAGCAACACATTTGTTGTTATAAACTTGCGTTTTCATGGTAAAAGTTTATGACATTAAAACCGAGAGACACGAGTAGTCATGCAAGCATACTTCTGTGTCTCGGTCTAAGTGAATTTTTAGCTCGTCTGTATGGCTATTGGATGATAATTCAGGCTGCTGAACCAGAGGTCATGGGTTCGATTTCCATGGGCGTAATTTATCTATACGTAGATTATGTATACAGGAAAATGTAAGTTATTTATAAGCAGTCTAGTTAAGATAGTATCTAATGTCCATCTAATCTAAGAGGTATCGTTTGACCATTTATAGTTTTCAATTGTCGTAACTCACACAAATATAATTTCCTTTTCCGAAAAAAATATGGAATTATGAGACTATTTTTATTTTGTCACAAGATGTACAATTCTTAATAACTACATTTAAATCCTTTTAACAAACCAAAATAAACGATAAATACAATAAATAGATATATCGATCGAAAACTGCTGGTTATGGAACAGGTGAAACCTAGCAAAAGTATCAGGGTTCTGAATATAACGGGCACGCCGTTATTGCGGCGGTAAGACCCGTTATGGAGGATTGGCTCGAGAGGCATCATGGAACCCTCTCATACCAGCTAATGCAGGTGATCACCGGGAAAGGATGCTTCGGAGAACACCTGTGTCTGATCCGCAAGGAACCAACGCCTGAGTTCGATTATTTGTACATTTTAACGATAATCGTTTAAATGTACCTACGAATAATAGAACTTATGAATAACCTCTTGGTTTTAGTATTTAATAATACTAAAACCAAGAGGTTATTAATACCCATTATAGTTAAATTTCAGCTGACATCCAACTGTCAACGAAAATGGATAATTTAAATTAAAAGTATGTAAGTTAATGTAATTTTAAACAAATGCTTGTAGGCAAAATCACTAGTGTCCAAGTCTCCACAAGAAACACTATTTTTTTAATTTGTCTTAGATTAGGTTAGGATTAATCTGCAAGGGAGGGGTCCAGAAGGCGGTAACAACCTGGACCCCTCCTAATATAGAAGCGCAAGGGCACACCGTGTGGTTTTAGTCGGTTCGAGTTCGACATACCGCCCCGCCGAACAGAAAACCCCGGCGGGGTGACGGTCCGAGAGGATTTCGACAGATAAAAAAAAAACAAAAAAGATTAATCTGCAAACACCAAAGAAAATATCTCTCTCTTATAAGTTAACCTATACACATTGGTATATATTAACATTTACTAGTATAACCTAAGATATAATATTATAAGGACTTTTAAAGTAATATACATAAATGTGTAAAACTGTAATCGATTAGTAAATACAAAGAAATTACATCGATATCTCTGTCAGAACTGTCAAACGGTACCTCTTCGCTTAGTCGGACTATTGTCTGAGTTTTAATACTACTTTTTTTTTCTTTTAAATTAAATTATTATGTATACGAGGGGTGATCAATAAGTAATGATAATCAATATGAAACAGAACTATTAGATTAAAAAAAGTATTTTATTTTTCAACATAGTCTCCTTGCAAGTTAATACATTTAGTATATCTTTTTTCTAAGCCCATGATTCCCTTAGAAAAAAATTCTTTGTCTTGACCCTCCCAAAATGCCTCTACTGCGGCCATCACTTCACTATTGTCCTCAAATTAGTTGCCCCGGAGGTGTTCTTTGAGCCGAGGAAAGAGGTAGAAGTCACTGGGAGCTAGATCTGGCGAATAGGGAGGGTGTTCGAGCAGTTCGAACCCCGTTTCTTCAATGGCAGCCATCGCAACTGCGGCTTTGTGAGCCGGGGCGTTGTCTTGGTGAAACAGCACTCCAGCGCGCAGTTTACCGCGTCTTTTTGACTTAATAGCTTCTCGCAATCTTCTTATTTGGCCTGCGTAGTAAGAGCCTGTTATAGTGGCCCCCTTTTCCATATATTCCACCATAATAATTCCTTCTGCATCCCAGAAAACAGACGCCATAACCTTTCCCGCTGAACTTGACACTTTGAATTTCTTCGGCGTTGGTAAGGAAGCTCGTTTCCAAGTCATTGATTGTTGTTTGGTTTCGGGATCAAAGTGGTGGATCCAGGTCTCGTCCATGGTCACAAAACGCGACAAAAAAAATTCTTTATCGGCCTGGAACTTTTGAAGATTCACCCTCGAAATGTCGACTCGTTTCTTTTTTTGCTCGTCGGTTAGCATTCTCGGTACCCAACGCGCAGAGACCTTTTTCATATGCATTTTGTTGACAATGATTTTTTGAACGCTGCCATAGGAGATCCCTGTGACCTCAGCTACATGCCTTACGGTCACCCTTCGATCGGCCAACACGATATCTTCCACTTTTTTGACGTTTTCTCCAGTAAGGGACGTGGAAGGGCGTCCCTCGCGATGTTCATCTTCAGTGGAGGTTCTGCCCAGCTTAAATTCCTTTGCCCAGCGTGCGACTGTGGAATATGGAGGAGCAGACTCCCCCAATGTTTCCTCTAAGTCGCTGTGTATGTCTTTGGTAGACATTTTTTCAGGCAGAGGTACTTGATGACAGCTCTTATTTCATTTTTCTCCATTTTGATGTTTTCTCTTCGACAGTTCGTATTCAAATGAATGTATCTCCCGGTAATGGTGTCCTATTTATACATTTTTTTGAAGCTGAAGTAGTGGATATATAAGCAAGCAGAAAAAATAATAATTTGGGTTTTTGTGCGTTCTAGAAATACTCGATTATCATTACTTATTGATCACCCCTCGTAAATGCAGTACATTTTTACATAATGGTCAGCCAGAATAAAATATTTGATGTTTTTCCTTCTTCACACCTTTATATATAATATATATGGAATGTAATACTACTACTGATAAGATGAGGTGTGGAAAAGTATAACGTGGTCGAGCTTTTGTTACATATTTCAATTTAAAAAAGAAATTCTCGTGGACGTTAACATTTGAGATTTCATTATTAAATCAACACAACAGTAAAAACATAAAAGACCGACTTACTTGTCGTAGGGCCTATTGCCCCAAATGTGAGCAGCGGAGTTAACGAGCCAAGTAAAATGTAGTGTCACCGTGTATCTGGTAATAGAGGCCACGTACCACGAAATCCAAGCGTTTTCACCCCAGCAATAGACTGGGATCCACGCTGGAATTATGAAGCATAGTAGCGGCATCAGTACTAAATACGTTCTGTAAAAAATAAAAAAGAACAAATGAGATAAAACAAAAACTTAACCTTATGAAATATACACACATAAATCACTTTAACAGCCTTTAATGGTCCATTGCTGGACATAGGCCTCTACAAAGAAGGTTTTGGTTTACTATAGCACGCGGGCCAGACGGGTTGGTATTGGGTATGTCAAGATTTTCTTCTCTTTGCAGAGCTGTTGTCCTGCGTAGTTTGCTCCCTTAGTCGGCTCTTACGACACTCACAGGATGAATAAGAGGAAGTGACACTCCTTATTCTTAATCCGTGTGGATGCATGTATTTATGCATATTAAACGCTCACATTTAGCCAACAATCTTAGTTTTAGTTACGTATTAAAGGGCAAGTCTTTTGTCGTCAGTACTTTAATAATTTGATTGGAAAATTGGAAGGAAAGGTAAATAAGAAAGGAAGGTGATGGGTAGAAAAGAGATTTGGATGGATTTCGGAATGTATAGCTCGAATAGATTGGGGTCACGTCTCTAGAACTCGAAGAAGAAAATATCACATCATAATAAATTAGTCAAATATTTCTTGTATTATGGCATGAAATAACATTCTTTCAATGGTATTTTGACAAACATTTTGTTGTTTAAGGTCAAAACATTTGTTGTTCTGAAGCAAACTTAATTAAAATCTCAAGTTCTTAGAATATGTTTATTAGAATAAAGCAAGTTACCAAAGCTAAGAAAGGGTAATATTTGTTGTAAAATGCTTTGTTGTAAGTTGTGTTGCTAGTAATGTTGTTTGTCGTTGTATCACTAATGTTTAGTCAAAGATGTTTCATGGAATGCTTAACTGTAATAACTACACATAATGCTAATCATAATTAAAATAGTAATTATATTCGTAACCGTCTACTTCGCACTTACCTTGAATTTTTCCTTAGTCATGCTATTCAGTTCTCTAGACGTTAATAGTCAAAAATATTTTAAGTGATATTAGAATAGAATAAACTTTATTGTATACCAATTTTTTAGTTTTAACTAGAGTACATCATTAACTCTATGCGGATTATTGTACCCTTCAATGTTTAAATTTATTAAACTGTTGTCTATAATTCCTAGTTAAAGACGCGTCTCTCAAATTTTGTAATTTTATGAGATTAATATATAAAGTAAGGTATGTTTCCAAATTGAATATTTCTCTTCACAAACATTATATATTATTTATTCAGAAAACATAAATTAATGTAACAATTTTTTTGGTTCCAAATTACATATACCTTACCGCTACGAAATCAATTCTTACGAGCAACTTTTAGATGTACAAATAAACCGTAAATAGATGATATAACTGTGAATAGATGGATTGCTTTGATATAAAAAAGTGTAAAAGAATCATAAAATATTTATGCAGTGAATAGGATTTGACTTCAATAAAAGTGAACAATAAAAGTGGGTAGTCGAAAATATATGCAATATTTATTTATTTACTTCAGTTAGCGAATTTAATCATTGTAATTCAACAGAGGTTCTGGAACACTAACTAACACGACACTACACCTACACAATAAATAACAATAAATCTAAAAATGTTACGATTGGAGAAATTTAAGGTTTAGCATTCTGCGCACAACATTGCTCTTGGTATTATAGGGATTAAAAGAGTTCTCATTGCACAATTTATGAAATCACTGCTCGCTCAAACAATATATTATGATTAATTTCTATAGTTGTAGAAAGAAAATATACATATCTAATACACTAGACCACATACAATAGACGCATCTAGATTTTTTATTCTGATTAGTATAAAATAAATGTAGTTTATATCTTTTTTAATTTTAAAAATAGTTTTTAAAATTTGGAGGATCAATTAGCACCAGAACAGTTAATTACCAGTTTATTTGTGCACTTACTTTTTTTGGAACATAACTATGGGATCCTTTTCAAGGTCTGACATGTCGACGGAAGCACCTTTTTCAAAAACATCTTTGTGTTTGCGAACCATCAGCCATCCGATATGGGAAAAGAAAAAGCCTCTCTTGGCATTATGTGGATCAGCATCTGTCTCCGTGAACTTGTGATGCACTCTGTAAATGGGTATATATATTAGCTAGTTTTAAATTTACGTATTCATATATTTATTGGGCACTGTAAACATTGTCCACTTCTGCCACACCTTCTGTGGGCAATTTTTTTATGTCCAGCAGTTCCTCGTAAAGTAACAGCAAACTACTCGATTGCCACTTCAGTAAAACCCATAGTGCAGATTGATGGGTCGAGGGGTTTTCGTGCCCTTACTGAGCGTGGACGGTTATAGGTATCTGTAAGAACACGTCTCAGCCCTTACGTGAGGTATTTCTAGCCTTTGTAAGTAAAATGTAATATGAAATATGAATATATAAAGAATATAGACAGTTTCAATAAATTTCAGAATAGTTAGTCTTTATGTTTACGTAAATAAATTGTAAAGGAGAATACCGTTTTTATTTTAATTAAAGCATAATCATCCATCATGAATATGCGTGTTAGGTCGCCATTGTACAGGATCAAACTGATAAATCTAACGATTACGCAACGTGGTGGAGTGGCTGATAAAATTTGTTACGTGTCTCAACTATACATATATCTTTTTATATTATAATTGGTAATAATAAAAAAACACAACAATTTGTGATTTTTGTTTACATTTTTCACAAACATTTGTCACCAGTAATGATTATATCTTCGGTTTAAAGACATTTATTTCTCAGAAAAAAGAACAGCACAGTTCTGTAACATAATGAGAAAATGTAATAACACAAATAAATTAGTTAAGTATCTCTAAGATGACAATATACTATACAGTAATATGAAGTACTTTTTGCTAATGTAATCTTCTTAACTCTTTTTAAATTTAAAGAAGCTATCACTTTTAATAATTTTTTGTTTAAACTGAAGCCTAAGTATCTTTCACTACTTGATTCTGCAATATTTTCGTTATTTATTGTTAGTTGGATTTGACTGTCAATTTTCTTATTTTTTGCAGTTAATAAGTTAGATAGAAATCAGTTGTTCATAATATTTAAATCATTTTGTGCTTCTTTCACGATATCAATTAGGTTGTGTCCAAAAATAAAAGAGACAAGTGTCATCTGCGTAAAGTGTAATGCTGCCTGATGTTTCAACATTTTTTATATTATTAATTTAAATTAAAAACAACAGGGGGCCGATAATCGTTCCTTGAGGAATTTCGTATGTTAGTTTAGCAGGCAAACTTACATGGTTTTCAATTTAATTTAAATTTCTTACACCATTTGTCACCACCCACTGGCAACATATGGGATTTTTCTTCTTACTTGTCACCAGTGGGAACGAAGCCAGTAGTGACGACTCGGAATAACTCACAAAAACTAACCTGTGATCTCGAACCCATTCATAAATATGATTTTGGAAGGCCATAGTTTGCATCAAAGCGAGGTACACCCGTAGCGGCCAGCGTGCTTTGTAAGCTTTATGGGCCCATAGCCTGTGAGCTCCCGCCGTGACTCCCATCGCAGATATACAGGCAAAAAATATTGCTAGAATCAAAAAACATAAATAGAATTGAAACTTGAGAGATCTTTTAAAGCTCTAAATCCAGGCCCTGACGCAGAGTAGCTGATGTCTCCTGCTTTTAAACTATCTCCTTGATTGTTATTTTATTATTACATTAAATATTATTGATTTTAAAATGGAATAATCTATACTCTCTAATATCATTATCATCAACAATCTTTAATAGTCCTCTGCTGGACATAGGCCTCTAATAAGACTTTAAGGAAAACGCACTTTAGGCATCTTATTTTGCCAACAAAAAATATAATCCAACTCACGTTATTATAAACTTGCCAACGAGACAAATCTTTAGAAGCCAACGAATACTTTGGGAATTAAATATGTAAGATAAGATTATTTAAAAAAGTTAGAAAATAAGAGGTGACGAAAAGAAAAGTATAAAAAAAATATACACACCAAACAAAATAGTTCCAAATTGGACTTTGCCAGTAAAACTCAAATATAAGCCGTAAAGTGCCGCGATGTGGAGGTAAACAAAAGCGAGTACGTTTCTCCAAACCACTTGCCATCTGTAATAAGGAAAATTGACATTAAATTCATAACGTTATAATCTACTTGTATCTGGAATCTCTAAGGCGATTTTTATGAAGTTCCTTCATGAAACCTCAGTATTGGCTAATTTTAATATTTTACATTCAAAATATCAGAAATATTTCTACAGTATTATAATTGCTATCTGAACTTCTTTTTTTACATTACAGTTTTTAATCCATTAGTAAATCCTGTAATTAATTTAAGATTTCTAAAATCAACGGTTTTGTGGTACTGTCATTAATTTACATGTTGTGAGTCAATCAAATTTTAGGAACTACGACTGCTTGTGATTAGTTTTTGAGAAAAGTATACCTCAAAAACTATTGTTTCAAATAATTTGACAATATCATTTGTAACATACATAGTAAGTGCATCTTACTTAAATAAGTACATGTTTTAAAATATTCCTTTGCTTCTTCTATTACAGGCATTGTATATTAACTAAACTCGATCGAAACACGGTAGGCCGTGGGATATTAACACCCACATTTTGCAAACTACAATTTGGTAAAACTCACATTGGGAAAAAAGGTACATAAATTGACAATAAATAATATAATTGAAAGATACATTGATAGTCTATAATGGATAGAAATGGATATTGTTTATACGGATAAAATACGAGGTATACCATTATGTAACCGAATTGACCGTTGAAAGCAAGTCCAAAACCTTTCAACGTCATGATTTAAGCTTAATTTTTGTTCTCTATTTTAAAAAGAAACAATAAGTGGGAAATCTATTTACTTATGAGTAAATATGTTTTATCTCACATCACATCAACAGCCTTTAACAGTCCATTGCTGGACATAAGCCGCTCCTTAGAATGGAGGTTTTGGCCTACAATACCACGCTGGCCAGACGGGTTGGTATAGGGATCGTGTCAAGTTTCCCTTCTCTCTGCAGTGCTGTTGTTCTACGTAGTTTTATCTCTTTGTAGCTCTTATGACACCCACGGGATGAAAAGGGGTGGTGACACTCTGTATTCTTAATCCGTCACCACATCATCTGCCTACCGCCTACAATTTTCCCAATTTTATTTGGGGTCGGCGCAGTATGTCCGTCACCACACGGTGTAAAATATAGATTAGTATTATCTTGTTACTTGCCAGAGAATGACATGCGTCATAATGATAAGAAAAATTGTACAAAAACCAGAATTTAAATCGTTTTCTTTTAGTACTAAAAACAAGGTAAACCACTTTTGATGTTATTGAACTACCTAAATGGATTTTTTCATATTCCGTACGAAGACGTGATAGAATAGACGAAAATAACTAAACGTCGTTAAAGGAAACGGTAAAGCACACCATGTGTATTTAAATGGCAAGTAAAGTAAGGATACAGGTTATGTAAGTACCCACCTGGAAAAAATAAATTACTTGCTATAACACTTTTGGTACTAAAAACTGTAATTGACGAACTTGATGATACCAATGGGCAAAACTAAAATATTTCGTCTCCCGCCACAGGGCGGACACATCCCTACTAATATTATAAATGCGAAAGTGTGTCTGTCTGTCTGTTACCTCTTCAAGCTTCAACCGGCATCGATTTACAAGACATTTGGTATAGAGACAGTCCGAGTCCTGGATAAGGACAAAGGGCAGTTTTGACCTCAGAAATCATCCTTTAAGAGGGTGAAAAGGGGGGGGGGGGGTGGAAGTTTGAATGGGGAATCAATAACCGCTAAACCGACTTAGATGAAATTTAGTATGGAGATAATTTGATTCTTGAGGAAAGACAACCGACCGCGATAACCGACATTTACGCGGGCGGAGCCGCGGGAAAAAGCTAGTGAGTAAATAAACCACAAAGTACGATCTAAGTGCCTACATAAAATACAAGAAATGAATCTTAATTGATAGCTACATAAAATCTGTTTTGTTTTAATTTTTTCTAATTTAACATAGATATGTTATTTAAAACATGCATATTATGCATATATTAAACTTTGTTATTTCTTGTACCTAATAGCGTTTTCAAACTCACAGTGAATACTCTTTATTAAACTTATTAAAAACCGTTGTTACTAAATTTTCAAAACTACCCTTAAAAAGTTTGTATGGGGAACTATTTTTTTTTACCTTGTTGATTGATTATAGATGGAAGTCACGGGCGCAAGCTAGTATTTACAAAAAAAAAAAACAGAAATTTAAAATTTTAGTCCTTACCTATCTTTTAAACAACTGTTTAACTTATTTACTAAACAAACACAACTGACAAAAGGAGGACACTTGAGTACTGCAATGTTGTATCTGCCTGTTTAGGTATATGTACATAGAAAATTAGTGTGTTACAGATATATGTTAGAGACATGGTCGAAATTTGACCATTATAAAAATAGATAATTTTCTTACTCATAGTCTCTGTTCTTCGCTCGTTGCTGTACATATGCGAGGTCATCATCTTCAAGCTTCTTAGTTATCGTCGTGTTAGCAAGGAGGAGAGAGGCACCTGACGGCCCGGTCATTCTGTCAATCTGGAGACAATATATTGTTTTTTCATCTCTGCATAAATATTACAACACTAAATTATTATTAATTATGATCTAAGATGGCATTGCTTATTTATATAATACTAACTTTACTAATCTCACACACGGCAGTCTGATCCCAAGCTAGGTGGAGCCTGTACTATGGTAACCAGACTGCTAATAAACATACTTAGGAAGTTATATTTTATGTAAAATTATCATTAGTAACAAAATGTTCTCAAAACTAGAACTAATCTCAGAATCTTTCCGTATACTGAGGGACTAATCTTGGCTTGATGTTGGTTAGACATAATAATATGTCATATGCAGATTATTTATAGAATTGAGATAGTTTAATATGGATAAACCATGTATTCTCTTTTAAAAGAGAACAATAATAAAAAAATAAATACCAAAAGTTAACAGCAGCAATAACTGCCTTCAATATTTTTGAAAATCACATAAACTTAAAAATAGTATGATTAGTGACATTTTGACGTTAAGTGTTTATTTTTAATATAATTGTGTTGAGCTAATAGAGTAAAAATCTATTTTTATCAAAGAGTTTTAATAAAAAGTTCTAAACTCAGCTAAAAACCGTTAATTTCATGATTTGTGGCAAAGCCGCTTTACTGACGGAGCCTTTTGTACGGTTCACATTTAGTTCAAGTAATTACTCAGCCAAGCGTAGCGTAATCTTAATATTACAATACAAACGTTACTACCTGTATTAGGTGTAGCCGGAGAAAGCGATATTTTAATGACGCATTCCAAAAATTGTTGAATGTACAACAAATTCTACGATTAAAGATATGTCAATGTATAATCATGCCATGTATTTTTAGTATTAGGTACGAACTGATTTACTTGTTTCTGTAGTTATTATATTACATATTTACTGATCTAGAAACGTGTCTTTCGATAAGTTAAAATCACGTACGTTTACTTACATCAACATTTAGAGTAGTAGATAATAGAATATATTTTGAGACGGATGCTATACATCCGTCTCAAAATATATTATATTATGAATATTTAGTTAAATTTTAAAAGTCAGTATTGGGAATTTAAACAGTTTATTAATATCGCTCCGGACGTATCTTGTAGGCCATATTTAAAAAAACTAAAGATCCTCACGTTACCGTGCTTGTACAATGTAAATTCATAAGACAGCATCCTTAAACATTTAAGCAAGCGAAGGATGTCACCAAAAGGAGCAACATTAGAAATCCAAATAGATTTGTGTTGAACATGGTACCTAGGTCGAAAAGAATTCAAAAAAATTGTTACGCGATGTGCATTAAAATCTTCAATAAAATCCCAGAACGATTTAAATAACTACCATTAAATAAGTTTATTCCAGCCCAGAAAGATTGGTTAATTACAAATACATTTTATTCGGTCAAAGACTTTTTGAATGGTGGAGAGTAGTAGGTATAATTAATAAAAGTGAAATTATAATCAATACACAAAAACTGATGAATAATGATGATGATAATAATAATAATATATCTAATACATAAGTTTAAAAAAAAATTTGTTAAATTTGCATGTTATCTTCATGGCTAAATGGGCCTATTCGCATTATATTAAACCTTTAATACCACAACATTTACACACACACAATTTGAATGTGAATAAAATTAAGTTGTTTATAACTACCCGTTACAGATATCGCGTGGTGGTGGATTAAGTATACAGAGTGTCATCACCCCTATTCCCCTATTCATCCCGTAGGTGTCGTAAGACTAAGGTAGCAAACTACGCAGGACAACAGCACTGCAAAGAAAAGGAAAACTTGACACAAATCCTATGCCAACCTGTCTGACCAGCGTGGTATAGAAGGCCAAAACCTCCTTTCACAGGAGAGGCTTATGTTAAACAGTGGACTATTAAAGGGTGTTGATGAACTAACATATTTTTGTTTTCTAAAAATGTAGAATAAATGGTGAAAAAGAAAACAAATAAAGAAAAATGAGTTTATACAATAACTTTATTCAATTGTTGAATGAATAACAATGGTTTCTATGTTTGAATTTAATACTCTCTTTTTTTTTATTCTGTAAGTTTTGTAACTTTCTAATAATATTAGAAGTGTTCATCTCATTTCTTTAATAGTGTCGGGTTGTGTGAGTTTTGTTGTGATAAGGATAAGTTCAGTTTGTTGTTATAAGCTTATTTTCTTTTTTAAACTATTAAGTGTGCAGAAAGATTTTTAATTAATTGTATAAAAAGTTCACACAAATGAAATCGATAGTGTATTGCCATAAATAAGGAAATCATACACATAAATCCCTACGTATACCTATGAAAATAACTGTAGTACCTCTTTCTTTTTTGAAGGAATTAAAAAGCGAATGGTGTTGTCTAGTTAGCAATTAGTTACTTATTAAGTGCAAAGTATTTTATAAGAAAGCTTTTGAATATTTCAAATCAGAAGTAATGAAAAAATTTGCTGTTGATCAGCCGATCCTTAAGTTCATTGACACAAGTGAAAGTGACAAACTGTAACAAGAATGTACTCGGTGGATGATAACACAGATAATGTTACATAATCCTGTTGTTTTGCAGCCTTCGTGCATTAAGACTGCATCAATTACTTAATTGTTTTAGCATTTAAGTACACTAGACATATTTTTTTTTTATGTTAGAGGGGGCAAACGAGCAGACGGGTCACCTGATGGAAAGTGACCATCGCCGCTCATGCACGTCTGCAACTCAGGAGTCACAAACGCGTTGCCGGCCCTTTAGGAAGGAGTACGCTTTTTGCTTGAAGGTTTGAAGGTCGTATCGGTCCGGAAATACCGCAGACGATAACCCGTTCCACAGATTGGTAGTGCGGGGCAAAAAGTGTCACGAAAAGCGCACAGTAGTGGAGCGCCAACTATCCAGGTAACTAGGATGGTAAGGAGGATGTAAATTTTGCCGTGTGGAACGATGGCGGAAGCTGGTACTGAGGTGCCCCTGCATAGAGATGAGAACAGTATTCCATATGCGGTCGGACTTGCGCCTTATAGAGCTGAAGGCGTGTGCGGTATCTCTATACTGATTTACCTACCTGCTATTCGAATTAAAAATACCGTTTTTAATGTACATTTTCAAATTGTATTTTTTTAATAAGGTAATGCAAACTTGTACTTCTAAATGTGATTTAGTCAACGCTATTTGTTGAAATAAAATTTTATGTACCTACATACATAACATAAGCAAGGGTGAAGTAAAAATTACTTGTTGTGTTGAATGGAAGCTGTTAATATATTCAATAAATACCTTGTAAATAATATATTTATGCCGACTTCAAACATATGAAATACTTGAAAAAATTCAGAAATATGATACAATAATCGAAAACTCATAGGTACACTTATGTCAATAAACATACTGTATTCATTGTTTGTTTAGTTATGCAGTAACTATGGTAACAAACATTCACAAATTGTATAATACGAAAATAAAATAAAATGAAAACGAAGTGCATTAACAGTAGGTATTTACGTACGTAAACCAAGTAAGTATGTTGTTTCATGGCATATCCGTAAACAATTAAATTCCCACCGTTAACTAAAAGGTAGGTACTTTGACATAAAATTTATTATTATGTAATCATTTATGCATAGTGGTGTTATGAAGAAAAAAGACAATGCTAGGTAGGCACATTATTTTTCGTGTGAAGTTATATTCGAAAGGGTCATCTACCTACATACCCAACAGCTTTTGTGTCGATAATGCACATAGTAATTATTGTGACAGAGATGTGTGCCTTATGTTTTATAAGCTTGAACGTTATTCGAAAGTAAAATCATTGAGAAAAGATGGCAAGAAAGTACTTTCACAACTGTAATAAAGCAAGTTGCCGTTATAACCTGTTGCATTATACGCCTGTTTACCTACTTATTGTTGATTAAGTCATTCTTTAAAGAGCCTTTAGTTGGGAGCGTTTCGTGGGTAAAAAAAAACTGATTATGATTACTTTGAGTAAAAGCAATAAAAAATACAAAAAAAAAATAACTTGCCACCAATCAGTCATAGTCAATGTACCTACCTTAGCTTTGTAATTAGATTCCTTATGACATATAAAAGTAGCGATGCAAAACAATAGATGCCAATAAAAAAGAGCTAAATGCGACACAATAATAAACATAGATTAATTAAAATGATTATAACGAAGCTAATAATACGTACGTCGAAAACACGACTACTTCCATACAATTTCTCTCAACTACCGATAAATTAAACTACCGACGGATTTAGTTAATGAAGTGACAAAAAATAAACTTAATGTAACATGTCAGTACGTAATAAATATACGTATATTTATTACAATTAAAAAATATATATTTTTAGTGGAGAAATAATTTGTAAAAACGAGGTGTTAATCTGAATTAAATAAAAAAAATTGTATAACTTTTTGTACAAAACAAACCTCAGTGATTTATTTTTCTATGTAAACATTTAATTGTAAATTACTTATAGTTTTATAACAGTAAATAATAAAATAATTATATGAAAAGGTTATTCGCTTGCTCCGATTAATTGCCTATGTAGGCAGTCCCACAAAAAAACATAATTATTTTTATAAAACCACAAAAAAGTTGCTTCTTGACTGCAGAACAGGAAGAATTAAACAAGTTTTATGAAATGGCGAAATTGTTCACCTCGATACCATGACGATATAACACAAAAGCAAAGAGGGTTAACTTTCTTCTGCCTATACAAATATATAAGTATTTAAAAGTGCATTTTTAATGTAACATAATTTTAAGTGCCTAGAAAACTTTAAAAAAGTAGAAACTACATTCATAAGTTTAAATTGTTACGACATGAGTGCATTCAAATTGTGGCGTCATTCGCCACCAACTATGTAGATATATCATTATGATTTCACAACTACACTTAAATTCGATCATCAGTCAAAAATAGCAAACTTTATCAATATTGTCATGTTTTACTGATTAGCATCTGGTGTTTAACGTCTGGTGCTAAGTTAACATTTGTTT